GCCATAATTTTGGAGTAGCCAAAAATGAATTTTGAAATTCAAGTCCATCCTGCTATTGGTTGGGGTTAACCCGCTTGGTTGGTTCGACTGAACCTGAAAATTTTGGCTATAAACCGAATATTTTGGGTCAGGTAGGTTGGCTGTTGACATGGATGAACCCAAATCAAAACACCGACAGGCTGAAATTATCCACTTATGATAATGACATAACATAACATAATGTGATTGATTCCCCCCACATCTTGTCAAACCACAGACTTTGAGAATTGGTCCACAATTCGTAAAACAAGAAGGAAATTGCTTGGCCGGCCCAGGGAAAATCACTTTTTGGCTGGTTGCTGAGCCGGGTTCCACGGCGTGGAATTTAGATTTAGATGCTGATAGTCGTAAAGCATCTTTTTGGACGATTTATGCTAGGGACTGCCGGACCGGACAGAAATGATAGTCCACTACGTCGGCCCTTGGGCTGGGCCTACTCAAATTTTCACAAATATTCAACCCAATTTGGCAGTGATGTTGGGGGACCATCTCACCTGCCTTATGACAGAGGTGTTCTTTTTGTGAGCATTTACAAGAGTCGATCATTTCTGCCCGGGCCCACATTGTTAGGTCCAGCCTGGCCTAGAAATTTTCGGACTCAGGCAAATATTTTTCTTCCGAACCTCTATACTCAGGCAAATTTTCGGACTCAGCACAATCCAACGTTTATTCGGGTGCAGGTTGGATTGGGCTAGGGTTTCTCTACCTAGCCTTTAAGGTCATGATACCCCTAAGTTTTATATAGGGTATTCCTGTAATTTGCTATAATTTCTAACCCCACAATCTTAGAGTTTAGGATTTGTTTTCATCTTTGTATTTGTATTACCAAGTGACACCTTTGAAGCCATAAACGTAATTCTAACTTAAATTCATGGCTCTAGGGTTTTCAAAGCTTGTCATAATAAGAAATATAATTAAAAGCAAGGTTTTTAAAATTAACTCGGACAATGAACCGGTCAGGGTTCAGTTTCTAGGTCAAATGGTCCAGCCGTTTGAACCGAATAGATGGCCCGTTCTAAAAAAAAATAAAAAAATAAAAATTGGCCAAACTGTTGAATGGTTCGAACAGTTTGACCACACAAGTCAACGATTTGCTGATTAAATCAACAGTTTTAAGCGAAATAACAATTCTGGATTAAAACAGAACTGGTCACTTCCCATTTTTCTGGTCTGACCATCCAGTCCAGTCCAATTTTAAAAACCATGATTAAAAGACTGTGGATCAAATCAAGGTGGTTTGAACCCTATAAATATAATTATCAGGCCCCCAAGGTGCAGGTAGGTCAGGCCCAGGCACCTCAAGTTATTCTTACTATCCCGTTCCCATGATCATATTTATCATCATCACTGGACATTCAGAGCAATTCAAGACAAACTTTAATGCCTTCCAGAAGCTGGAAGAGACCACCAAGAACTCTTGGTGAGGGGTCTTTTTCTGTACAGTCTAGCAATCTGATCATTATCTTAGTTTAGGGCTCAACAGTTTGGACCAGGGCGGCAAATGAATTGCATTGAATTCATTATACATAGATCCAAATTTGGTTCATTAATATTCGGATTTGAATTGAATATCATCTACCAAATTTAGATCAAGTTCTAATTGAATTCGGATATTGAATGCATTGTTAAATTAATCTAAATAAATGAATGGAAATTGCCTTGGGGCAGTTTTTTTTCAAAATAAAAAGATAAAATTATTATATATATTAATAAAATAATCTAATATTATTGTGACGTTCTATATCATGACTAAAATTTGGTTATGATGCTACAAAGACATAATACCTGAAAAACTTATAATCCATCAACCGGATTGGTTAAAACCTTTCCAGAATCATGTCTTTCAGGCATCATAGATTTTTCCACAACATTCATATAAATTTTACTAATGATACAAATATGAATATTATGCAAATTACCAGATTGGATCATATTGAATCAGATAGGCTGTGTTTGGTTGCAGTGCAAATTTATTTGCATTGGTGCAAAATTATGGTAGTGCAAATGATTTAGATACAAATTCTGATTTGTTTTTCTTCAAATTTTACCTTATTTTGTTTGATTGCAACACAAATAAAATAACATAAGACTTAAAACAGAATAAAGTAAAACTCAAATAAAATTAAACCAAAATTTGCGTTTTATTCATTATGCCTATGCATTTGTACTGGTGCAAATAAAATTGCACTGCAACCAAACACAGTCATAGGGGTGAATCTATGGAGTGTACATCTGCTGCAAGTCAGTGATGGAAATGAAATAAATTCATATTATAGTGCCTATGTTTCATTGAGGGGTCCCATCTTCCTGGGGGACTTTGAATTCAGATCCATGTTCATGTTCAATGCAATTATAAATTAAAATCGGCAGATCCGATGTTCAAGTCATTCTTTTGGCCTCATATGGTTGTGAGTGTAAATTCATTTGCACTGGTGTAAATGCATAAGAATGCAATTGGACCAATCCTGATTTACTTTTACTTCAGATTTGACCTTGTTTTGTTTGTTTGTAAGAAGTATAATGATGTGGTCCTCAATTTATATGATAAAGAAATAATGTCAGTGGATGGTTATTTATTTTGAAGAATAAAATAACAAGAAAATTGATGTACTCATTTTTTATACAAGAGAGAATTAAGATAGGAGAAATGGTACAATTTTTTCATCAGGTAAGAGTGGGAATGATAGTCATAAACAAATGGATTCAAAACTGAACCAGGTGCAAAATTTGTATCCAGTTTAAATTTGCAATGCCAATAAACAAAGCTAGCCTATGGAATGGATCCTAGGCCCTGTTTGGTTCAGGGGAATAGGGATCTGGAATCAGAATTGGAATGGGCTATTCTGATTCCAACTGTTTGGTTGGGCGGAATTAGAATCTCATTCCCATTCCTGCTAGAATAACATTCTCCCATTTGAGAGAATGATCGTTCCCTGCCCCTTCCTTGGGAATGAAATCCCATTCCTGTTGATTTTAATTCCGATTCCTATTCCTGTCTGAACCAAACATATTATGAGAATGGAGCATTCCAATTCTGATTCCGGAGGATTTTAATTTCGATTCCGACTACAAAGCAAATGGACCCCTAGATCATCTCTTTGGGACTGACTTTTGTGGTTCCAAGTTCCAAAACATTTGTAGAAAGTAAAAAAAGGAAAACTTTTTGATATGGACATTTCCTAAACTTTTATGTGCAAATAAGGAATGTGGAATAAAATCTTGGCAAAATTTATGGTCTAGCCATGGAATCAGGCAACAGAAGACATTAGTTCAACGAATTAGTAAGTACATCTTATCAAATGTGGAAGTACATTTTATGAGAAAAATATATTTATGAAAATAAACAAACTTTAACGTGATTGATTCATGCAGCCAAAATTAATGAAAGCATATAGTTGAATTATAAAATATTTGCCAAAAAAACTCTTCCAATGGAAAATTTTACCCAACTAGTTTTAAGTTTTATTATTATTATTTAGAGATTTTACCAAAAGTGAAGTAGGATTTTACCTTATATTGGACAAAATGATCCTGAAAAACTAAATTTCATTTCTTCATTTTTATTATTTACCAATAAAATATTAAAATAAAAATTCAATTGGTGGAGTCTGACTTGGGACAAAGTAAATCAGTCCCAGATCAATTAAGTTATATAAGATAGACATAGAATAGAACCACTATTAATGGGGACATTGAACCAAATTATACTTAACATCTATAATTAATTATGATAATAAACGATTTAGAACTTCATTTTTGATAATATAATCTTAATAAAATTGATAATAAATAGTAAACTATGTATATATTGATAACAAAGTGTTTTTAATAAGAACTATTTTATATACTATTCATAAATATGTATATATAATTGGTTGAGAGCAAAAAGAATCCGATCCCAACCCAATCGGGACATAAAAAGTTCCATTTGATGGACTTGACTAGAGATGTTCACGGTTTAATTAACTGTGGGCCTATTTTTCAAACCGAATCGATACCACTGGTTTCTAAAAAACTATGAACTAAAGTCAAACTGAAACCAATCGATTAACTGGTTAATTGGTTCGGCTTTTGATTGGTTTAATCCGTTGGTTTTTCCTTTTTTTATATTTATAATACATATTAAAATAAATATATAAATATATAATATAAATAGTAAATATATATATATATATATAGTATTATATATTATAAATATATATTTATCTAACCGAATCGACTGGCTCGATTTCATCGATTGGGTTCGATTTTTCGGTTCTTGATGAACACCCCTAAACCCGGCCCATGGACGGCTCAAAAACATTCAAATTTCAAAGTACAATGATTGCATTCCAAAAAAATCTGGAGATCTCTGGTTTTGAATATCGGTGGGATCTGCTGCAAACAAGGCCTGTCAAACAGGCTACGACGTAAACAATCAATGAGTGATCAACCAGTGTTCTGTTATATGGGGCCCACCATGGAACACTGACGTGTTCATTGTTGATTGGTTCGCAGAAGATCCAGACACCTCCAAGAGACTTCTCTTATCTTATTAGGTAAGATAATCAAATGCTTTCACATGATTCCTGATTCACGCTTTCACATCTGGGTTTGGTGTCGGTCTATGATATCAGAGGGAGATAGATGATTGAGATCTCCTGCCAAAAAAAACTCATATTCCAACAACCATAGAAGTGGGACTCGCTATATATGAGATGTGTGGTGTTAGATGATGTTAGGAGGGTGTTGGAATGAATTTCATTGTCAGGTGATCCGGACTCGGATCAGAGTTCTAATTCAGTCCATACAAACATAATTCATGTACACGTGTCTCTAGATCGCCCCATCTTACGTGGGCAGTGTTTTCACGTGCTGAGATTACTCAAAGCAAGCGTCAACAAAAGCGGACACACGTCAGAGTTAGTTGGTCGTACAGCTGCTACAGTTAAAAAGAGCATCAGAGTCCAAGGATTTCCGGACTGAATTGTTCTTAGCTGAAGGCTGAAGCTTTTCTCTTCTCTGTTTCCTTTCTCAAATTGGATAACAATGGAATCTTCATGACAAGAAACTAAAATTAAGTAGGGTTTGCCTGGGATTTTGATAAGAAATCCTTGTGGGGAGTTGGAGAAAACTGCAACTCTGCAAGAAAGCTCTTATACAATTTCTCCATAGCTGTTGCTTCCATCTGTGCCTCGGAATGTAAGTTTCTTGTTCTGGGTACTCTTAGATTTCCCAGATGCATAGAATTTGGTTTGGACAGAGTTAACCGTTGCTGCTTTTCTGCTGTATCTATTATGACTTGCCTCATCAAACGGCACGCCCAGTTTTAATGGGTTTATGCTGTTTCTATTATGATTTGTCTCATCAAACAGAATGTTTTCTCAGGTTATTTAGTATTATGTTGTTCTCTCAACTTCTCTGTAGAGTGTAGAATGAAGAGAGAATGAGTAGGAAACAGCATTTTTTTTTTCTTTTCTAATTGTTGATACCTGTGTATGTAACAGGCAATTAATGTGCAGCTTTTAAACAATTGGTACAAGAATGCATGCTTGGGTTTTTTGTTTCTTTATGCTTTGTGCTACTGTCTAGAATTCTGTTCAGCTTTTTTAGGCATCAAGCATCTGGGTTGATGGATCAGAGCTGGTTATGCGTGTTTGTATGAGTGAACGTCATTATAGGTTTTATATTGTGCCTCTAGTGCTTTCTGAAAAGCCAAATAGAATAAAAGATTTTCAGTTTAGTTTTCCTTTTATGAGCCTTCAGCCTTGGAAGCCACATGGGATGAACTCATTTCATCGAAGTTTTACTGAACGTAAAAGTGGCTTCATTACAGGGATGTTGTTATGAACACGAACTAAATATCTAAGCTCTATTATGAATCTGTCAACAGAAATTACAACTTTGTTCATTTCTTGAAACTTTCTAATAGCTTCATTTGATTTTTTTTTTTTTATATCCCATGATGTTAGATGGTAAATTATGCTTTCAAATATTAAGAAAGGCTGAACTGAAATTATGCTATTCCATGTGTTTTCCAAATTCCCCATTAAGTTTAACTTTATTGGATAGAGGAAAATGGAAATGTCATATTCTTTTCTACTCCTGTCCCTTTAGGTTATGTTTGGTTTGAAGGAAAAGGTAGGGAAAGGAAGGGAAATGGAGGAAAACCTATACAAGGTTTGTAAACGTTTCCTTACCTTTCTCTTCCTTTCCCTACTTTTTCCTTCAAACCAAACACACCATTAAAGTCTAGTGACTATTGAGTAGTTAGGATTGGTATATTGATGTTTATTATGAACATCTATAACTAAATGATACAGAAGGTTGTCTAGTTTCTTTGGAGTTTTTTCCTTTTATTTATCCTTTGTTTTAACCTGGCTGTGTTGATATTGCAGTGGGCATTGAACAGACAGTAGCTCAGTATTAACCAGTTGATTCTGATTCTCTGTGTTTGATTTCTGGCATCCTCTGAGTCTATATCTATTTCTATGTGTAGAAATAAATGGGCAATGCTGGGGTCTTAGCATTCTACATCACAATATGCTGTGTGGCCTTTGTCATCTCAAAAATTGTTGTCTCTGTCCTCCTTTACCGGAGATGGCAAAGGAAGCACAATGTTATCCAAAATAGCATGTCAGGTAATGATCTTTCTTTTGGAGCTCAAGTCATTAAAAGTTTTGAGCCAGTGACTGTGAGAGGAAGTGCAATATCTAACATATCCAGGCATATTGACAGGTGGAAAGATGGTAATGTTCAGGTCTGAAAAGTTGCAGGCACTGACCTCAGAAGCATTCTTAAAGAAGACAATGAAGTTAACCAACAAAGATATTATTGGCTCTGGTGGCTACGGAACAGTCTACAGGCTGATCATAAATGATTCCATAGCCTTTGCTGTAAAAAGAGTAAACAGGGGTAGTGCAGACCGTGACCGAGGATTTGAGAGGGAGTTGAAGGCAATGGGGGACATAAAGCACCGGAATATTGTCACTCTCCATGGATATTGCACTGCTCCTCAGTTTAATCTTCTTATATATGATCTAATGCCTAATGGAAGTTTGGATGCATTGCTTCATCGTATGAAATTTATAGTTTTGCCTGCATAAGTTTTAATTGGATCCTATTCATTATTAAATGGATATTGCCACTGCCACTTCTTGGTTTTCCCAACTTAAAGAACATACTGATGCAGGTAGATCAAATGACAAGAAACCTCTGGACTGGCCTTCAAGATACAAAATAGCTGTAGGTTCTGCAAGAGGCATTTCTTACCTTCATCATGATTGTATCCCTCATATAATCCACAGAGATATTAAATCAAGCAATATATTGTTGGATAAAAACATGGAAGCTCGAGTATCTGATTTTGGATTAGCAACATTAATGGAACCAGATAATACTCATGTTTCAACATTTGTTGCTGGAACATTTGGTTACTTAGCACCTGGTACATCCCACAATCCCACATGACCAGATTACAATTAGTTCTCCAATTACCATGTTATAATCCTGTTAGATGATGCATAAATGCTGTTTTGCAGAATATTTTGATACTGGGAAAGCAACAGCAAAGGGAGATGTCTACAGCTTTGGTGTTGTTTTACTTGAGCTTCTAACTGGAAAAAGACCAATGGATGAAGCATTTCTTGAGGAGGGAACCAAACTGGTAACCTGGGTAGGTTTTCCAATTGAAAAAACCTTCAATATATTTTAGTTTTCATTTTTTTTTTGTTTCTATAGTTTTTTTCCTTAGAAATTTCCACGTTTTGCTGCATGACAAAATTGCAGTCCTAGATAAGTTTACATGGATCTCGTCCACCCTATCTTAAGATCCCTGGTTTATCTGGCACTTCATTTCATTATTTCCACAAATTCAAATGACATGGAAAATTAAGACATGGATACCATTTTCATATTCTCGAACCATTTAGTAATGAATAGGATCTAATTAAAACTTATGCAAGTAAAACTATAAATTTCGTAAGATGAAGCAATGCATCCAAACTTCCATTGTGCATGATATGGTTTTCTCTGTTATTCTTGTTATGAAATATTCATCATGTCCTCTGTCTTCAATTCTTTCCTTTTTTTTTGTTTTTCCTTATTTGAGTAGAGAGAGAATCACCTTTTTAGTGACAAGACTACTACTAAGAAATGCATAGAATACCTTTTATTTGAAGCTAAACATAGATTGAGATTTGTTCTCTTCGTTCAACAAATATCATCAAGAAACCACATGAAGTAATTTCTCTCAAAATGTCTTAGTTGTTTAGAAAAGTGGGAATTTCAATCCCAATTTTCTCATCATCAGATGAAGTTGTTCAAATTACCTTTGATAACATATACTTTCATTTTTTGGATGACAATAGAGGGGTTTTGTTAAAGACATCCAAATTGCTTTAGTTCAGTTCTCCATTATGCAAGGAACTTCAGATATGATAATTGTATGACAATGACAATACATTTGCTATTTTATGTCACATTCCTCAATTGTTTCATGGGTTGACTCTTCTTGCTGATTATTTTTCTCCTTGAACTTCAATTTTATCATGGGAGATGTTTGACCATATTGATTTGGATATGCAACAGGTAAAAGCAGTTGTTAATGAGAAGAAGGAAGAGCTTGTAGTTGACAATAGCTTAGTATGTTATCCAATGGATGAAGTTAACATTGTGTTCCGTATTGCGCTAATGTGCCTCGAATCAGACCCCTCCAAGAGACCAGCTATGGATGAGGTTGTCAAAATGCTAGAGCAGATAAAGTCTGATAAACTTGTATTGGATTATTGATATCTGCTTAAGCATTTTCTGTTTTCAAGTTAAAGGTATTTCCATATCTCATTTTCCATGTGTTTTTGATGTTGTGCAGACAATGGGTTACAGTTTGGCCGGTCATTCATCATTATTGGATTGGCATCTAACCAACCAACTCAATTTCTAGATGGAAATTTTACTGATGAGTTTACAGCATTTCTAAATTTGTCTCCTTTTTCATCAAAACCCATGGGGCCTACCCATAAATATGTTGGTCTTGGGACCATGTATCCCCCTATTCCATAGTTTCAGAAGGGAAAGGGAGTCTACAATTTTCTTTTTAGATTCAATAAACTCTTTTTTATCTTGTTGCTAAAGAAAACAAAAAAATCCATTGATGATGATGCTTAACCTTCATCTATTCTTTCTTACAGGGTTTTGATTGAATGATTAGAACCACAAATTTGAGAAGTTCAGCCTCAGCTCTTCCAAGACAACTCTTCTCGACTCTTGGCTACATCAAGGTTGCAAAACAAGGACCTGTCCATTTTGATAAAAGGTTCACCTAGTTAAAGCTGTAGTTTACAATATTAATCCCTTTTCAGAGTGACATTTTGTAACTGAAAGTATATACTCTTCTGTAATTATGGATCCATTAGGTTGACCTACAAGGCCAACCCAAAACTGTAAATGTAAATTATGCATAACATTTCAAGAAAAAAAAAAACTTCTGAAGCACTTTTGTGCTGGTTAATTTCGAATCTTCAACAAGAACTGATAAAACATATATTAACAATTTCTTGATCATGTGGAAATTGAGTGGGAAAGCATATAGACCAAAAAAAGATTCCCTTACAGTAAATAAGCATGACGTCAATTCAATATAAGTTTTGTTGCATTTGTATTTGCTCAACTAACCAAAGCAGGAGATAAAAATAGAGAAAAACAAAATCTTATTGAACACAGGACTTGACAATTATATATGATGTCACAATTTTCAGAAGCGTGTTAAGATGTATCTGATAGACAAAACATAAATAAATAACTAAAGTTCTAGAGATACATGTCCTTGACAACCTTTTACTAGCATGAGAAAACAAGGTCATGCATTGATATCTAAACTAAGTACCTTAGCAGTTATATGGACTGCCATAAGATCAGTCAAATACATTAAATTTTCAAAATGCATAAACTAGGTACCTTAGCAGTTAAACTTTATGTGTTCTCCCAGTTGTTGAGTGGTTCTATGGATCGTGTACAGGATATGAGAATATATAGCTAGAATGGGTGGGATCAACAGGATCGATTGCTTTATTAACCCTGAAGAATCATCTAACTTTGACATTGTAAGTAAACTGGTCCAAAAACTTCTTTAGGCCCATAGCCAACTAGTTGAAGTACCAAAAAATAAAACCTCTGGCTGATTCTACAAATGGTAACATTGCAAATGATGAGAAATGATTCAAGGTGATCATATTATCCATGTACACTTCAAGGTGATCATGTTGTCCATGAGAATAAAACAGTCATTGCCCTTTGTTATCTTGCTTTTGCATTTTGATCTCCAAAGACCATGACCTGGTAATGGAATGTGCCTGATGGAGTTATTCTTGATGTCCTTTTTCTCTTCTCCTCTTCCATCAGTATTTGATTCTTAGTTGTTTCTCATGTTATCTACACTTGTTCAGCCTGGTAAGCATCTTCTAGTGTCTTTTCATGTCTTGAACATTCTAGAAAAACTTGTAATGTCACTAAAACATAAAGAAATTTGTCTATGGGAAATTTTGTTATTTGTTATGAATGACATTGAATGCTTCATGCATTGAACCACAACCATGTAGGATAGCATGGAAGTAGAACTGGGCTTTTACACTTCATAGCTTTAATGTATGGGACTAATTTGGGCACACATCCCATTTTTGATAAACCTGGAACATCCCTAATGATACTACAAGGAAACCATTGTTTTTATGATAAAAAGTCAAAAATGGGGGATTTCATTTGTCTTTTAAAACATGTGCTTTCTGTCTAATGATTGGGGTATTACCCCCTTTATCAGAAATGGGGTGTGCCTAAATGTTTTCCATGTTTCAACCAACGCCCTCTATGAGATAATCACATATTAAATTAATAAATTATACAAGTTGTATTTATCAGTGAAATATTCCCTAATGATCTTCTTCCCGCATATTATCCTTTTCTTGTTATTATAATTACAAAGAACAATAACAACCTGCCCATTTTGTCCTTTCCATTGCAACTTTCAGTAACTGACCCTATAACCCCCATCCAGAAACTACCTGGATAACAAATGGAAGAAATGGAAACAAGCACTTAATATCCATCCCACTTAAAAGGAAAACCTCCTTCTCTAAGGCTGTGTTTGATTTGATAGAAAAATAAGAGGCAAGCAAAAAGTTGAGTAAAAATTCTTAAGGATTTAACTATAGAAACTGAGTTATTGGGACTTACAAGGTGTGAATTTTAATGGAATGCTTGGATTATGACATGGAAAAGAAACTCTCTATGTACTTAATAGGTAGGAGGTTTCCCATTATCATGGGTTTATGATCTTAGGCTGTGTAGGGAAAGTTCTTTTGTCATGGGGATTAACTTTCTATGTGCTTCAAGTGCTTGACAAGAGGAAACCTCCTACTTATAATTTCACAGGAAGTTTATCTTCCATGTCATAACCCAAGCCTTCCATCAAATATTCACACCTTATACATCCCAATGGCCCAGTTTTTTAAGGTAACTACCCATCCTTATTTACCATAGCATTCCAGAAACTCCACTCTACATAATCTAACTTACTAACCTTGTTATCTACCTTCATCATCTAGTTCATCATGCAGGCACATAATGAAAGTGGGAAAGAATAAAACAAGTCTGTCAGGTTTTAGCAGAAAATGGTAGCTTTCTAGAGGTTAATATTAGGTTTCAATTTGAGTTCAGAAAGACCTCACAAAGCTCTTGGTTGGGCAAGTTTATTACTGGGTAAATTAGTGGCTTGGTTTTACCAAGTCTCAAATGGTTGTAACAGAGGGCTTAAACTAAATTTGCATTCAGGGTTTATGAAACAGAAATGGGGGTTAGATTTTAATGCAATTTGGAATCAGCCGGTTTATATCTATGTGGAAGGAAAAAATAGGGTTTTTCTGAACTAAGAAAGGGTTGACATAGGATTTATAAGTTGGTTGATGAGGAAGTTATGGATGCAGCAAAGCTAATAAGAGGAATTATGTGGATATTCTAATGTACAATGAAGTAGGAAGAAAACGTGAATAACAGTAGTGGAATTAAGCGCTCTGTTGCAAGTTGAAGGGGCTAGAAAGGCTAGGTTCAGACATATAGGACATGGATTGAAGTAGTAAAACTGATTTAAGCGCTCATAATTTAACAATAGATATGTGACACTAAACAGAACAGAGTTGAGACAGGATTCATGCATTGGACCCATACAGTTGGGAAGAATCTTTGATGATGATGAACAATAAAGTGGAATTACCACTTCAAAGTATAGTATGTGATAGAATAACATCAATGAAGAAAATTCGTTCCTCCAGCACATTTCACCACACTATAGCGGCAATGATACCATCAAGAGATATGCTTCTTGGAGACAGTGAACTAATACAGGCTATTGCTTAATCTAGATCATATCTTCCAGCACAAGAAAACAACTCTAGTGGTTAATGAAAAAGAAAAAGAAAAGAGATGCATGGGTTTCTCCTCTCTCTCTGTGAATATAGAAATTACAAGGTCGATGTGTGCAAATACATAAAATATATGAATTGGACAAGTATGACTTCTTACCCTCCATTGTTCCCCCTCAAGCTGATTCTATGGGAATATTCATGCTCTTCACAGGTCATAGCCTTAGTAAAGATATTAGCAAACTAATGCTCCAAAAGATATATGAAGATGTATAATATGACCACTTAAAAGAGTGATCAAATGAAGTGGCAGCCAACCTTAATGTGTTTAATCGGGCAATATCTATGATGCCAGAAAGGTATCATATTAGAAGAACTTAATACCAACTGATTGGTTACCATTTTTGTGATACCAGTTCATTGATTATAAGTTCAAAGAATCTTAAGATATTGCATGTCATAAGGAAAACGAAGTGAAAATAATTTCTTGAGTCTTGAATCTATGACTTTTTAGTAAACATACAACCTTTTTTTTTTCTTTTGATCCACGGGCCTACACAACTGGGAGGGGGTAGCCCATCCCCCATCCCCCAAATCCATAACCCCCCACCCTGGTGCAGGTGGGATTCGATCCTAAATCTTCGCTACAACCAGCCAGTTGGCACCTTGCACTAAACATACAACATTTAAACCAGAATAAAAAGGCCATTAATCTAGCACCCAGTAAGAATATATATTCAAATATCATGAATCAACTGGGGTGAATCCATTTTCACTCCAGTTATGAACATGTCAAATTTGAATCGCTCTTAACTAGATAGGATTCAAATTTGAATTCGAAGGATGCATACCGTTTGTTCCAAAATCCGAAAAAGTTAGAAGACCCCAGATAGCTGGGACCAACATTGTGTAATGGCCTGATACAGATGCATACCGTTTGCGGCCCTACATCAAAGGCAAGGCTGGCCTTAGCACCTAGTATAGGGGGCTTAGTGTAACTGTAATCTGGGTTTGGCCTGTCCTGACCCAGATCAGCCCTCGGGCCTGAAATATAGGCTGCGGCCAGGCCTTACACAAGTTCAGAACGTACACACATATGGCTGGGCTAAGACGAGCCTAGGATATTGCGCCTAAGCCCAGAAATTTGCAGGCCAGACTGACTGGACTAGGATCTAGGAATAACTACCCTAACTCTCACGATGTATAGGGAAGGTCCTTCAATTCTAACCTATGGTTGAGTTGTCAATGTCTGTCCTAGCCATGCCTGAGTTGGGCCTTTTTTTTTAGCTTTTCCGACTTGGGCCCTACAAGGATTGGCCATTTCTATTCCCATCTTAATTCCTCAAACAAGCCTGCAGCCAAAACTCAAAAGGTCACCAGAAGGCCATCCCCCTTCATGGCCCACACTGAGCTGCCTCCATTTGGAATCAGGGTAACCCTAAAAATAAAGCAGGGATTATCAGATGGATCCATATGGTGGCATGGGCCAGTGGGAACGTTAAGCAAAGTTGGGCTATAGGCCTATGTCATTCTTCAGTCTACTCAGCGCCAGATGATGGTGAAGATTTACACTATCGTGGGCCCCCATGATTCCTACCAAACTGACTAAACAAGGCTAGCATGGAGCCCACCGTCCTTCATCTTGTTAGAAATAAAACAACCAACAAAAATGTAAGGGAGAAGTGGAGTACGCCGCACGGATGGCACTGTCTATAAACACCAAAAGCTACAAACAAAACCTGTCAGAATGGAAGAGCTTACTCTGATGGATCCTGCACCCACCAAAGAGTGCAAGATAGAAAACTAGAATGGTGTATTAGGATGATCATAGCCGTCCATTAACTGAACAAAGAGAAAGATAACAGATCAAACTTTTTCTTTTTTTTAATCTAATGAGCTGAGCCCAAGAGACTGCCTTACTGCGTGAATCAGAAGTGTAGAGACTATCTGAGTTAATAGAGTGTTACCCTTTATCAGACTTTGGATTGACTTAACTCATTTTTTAACAAAAGGACAACATTTAAAACAACTGTGTTTATAATTTAAAATGTTGTCAGATTTGGACCAAATCAAATCGAGGTCCAATTATAAATATATTAAATCAGATTACTATAACTAGAATTTGATTCAAATTTGAATTAGGACAAACGAATATTGTTTGCAGCCCTACACCATCCAAAAAGAATTAACAGCAAAAACAATTCCACATGTGCTCTATTGGTGGGTCTACCAAAAGTCCCAGACCCCTTTTGAGTGGGCTTTTAGCTGAGAAGCTTTAGTTGAGTTGCTTTAGCTGAGATGCTTTGCAGAAGCCACTAAAGAGAAGCTTCAAGGAAAAACCATGCAAATAGTTAAATGGTCAATTTAATGTTAGCTTTCCAAGTGGGTCTTACCCCAAAAGCCAGAAGCAGCAATGTGAAATCCCTCCCAAAGGTGCCCTTTTGGGAGGGTTTTGCATGGAGAATCTTACCTGGACAGATCATAAACAATGTTTAGTAAAAATCTGCAAAGCCCAAATTAGCCTGTCCTTCAGCAAAGACAAGGGCTTTACACCGAAGCTTCTTTCAGTTGCTTGTCCAAAGAAGCCCTACCAAACTTTCTAAGAGAGTCTGTCTAACTGCTCATAAACCTTGTAGAGAATGACCATGTCCATTTAATATTCAGATGGTCACTTGCATCCCTCCCAACGATCCAGTAGCTGAGATGATCACTTCATCTTCGAGAATGGAGGTATGGGATCAAACCTGTGTAACTGTAGGCTCTCCGTGGTATGATTAGTGGATCACATGCCCACCCCTCAATATTCCATACCTTGGGAAAAAAAAAAAGAAAGAAAAACAACTAACTCATCAACCAATGAATGTTTGGTTTGGTTCAGCATTTGCCCATCTATAGTTCAATCTCAGTAACTTGGTTTTTTATATTATTTATGTTGTTTTACGAAAAAGACATGTATACCCCATTTTGTTTTAAAATAGATATGATAAAATGATAGTAATTTTATCAATAATATAGACCTAAAACGGGGAATGATCAAAACCCTTCAATTGAATTGAATCGAATCGTTTTTGGATATCCAATAAAATGATACTAATCGAATTCGATTTTGAATTTGAATCATATACATTTTCTATTAAATTGAATTTAGAAATACCCTGATTTGAATCCAATCCGATCTATTTACATCTCTAACTTTATAACCCATGTTCCATTTGATCACCTTAGCTACCATGAAATGGGAGGATGAGATTTTCCTATACCTTCTTCTTATCTGATTCTCACGAGTTTAAAATTTATGAATATAAAGGGTAAAAGGGGCATCATGATAATCCTGCAAACACCACATATGTCTGAGGGGAGGAGAGTATTTGTAGTTAATTAGTACGGAAATCCAAAAGTTAGGTTTAACCCTTTTTGATAGGCTGCATCCCCTGTGAATAGACACAAGGTTGAAGGCACCCCTCTCTTTAATATAATTATTAACATCATCACTTAGGTTGCTTTATTCCTTTTAAAATTGTTCTAGGGGTATGCGCTTAAGGATAATAAACTTTTTTTTTTCTTTTGGTATTAAGTAGGATAGTAATTCACTGTTAATTAATCTCTTTTCACTTCTTTACTGATATATTTAACAACCTTGCTTTAATAAATTAATCTTTGGAATTTCTGTTAACCAGTGGTCTGTCAGTTCAGTACAACGGCTCGTTAGACATAGCCGTTACTGCCTTTCTTACCCTTTAAATATCAACTCCCTAGTCCCTCCCCCCTGCCCCCTATGCTCTCAGCCTTGCTCCACGGAACCCACAATTGACATTAACATTCTATTATCCTCTCTCTCAGCAATGGCTAAAGTTGCTCTCTCTCCTAACAATATTTTCCTTTTTGCGCTGCTTTTGTCCTTCAGCTCAGGTACTTGTCACTTCATGGGTTTCTGAGTTCATTTTTTTCACTTGATTTTGTACTCATTTCTTCCCTCTTTTTGGGATTTTCTTTGGGGTAGACTCAACTGTATGGAAAGATTTTCTTCGATTTGCCGAGTTTTTTTTTTTCTGAAAATGTGAACTGTGTCTGGTCTGCTAGTAAGATTTTCTATTTATATCTCAAGTGGACATTCGAGATTTATTTGTCTGAACTAGTTTTCCCAAAAAAATGAACCCTTGCTTCTACATATTTGAACTTTTTTTCTCCCATTGGATCATGAAATCGGAACTTGGTTAGAGAAACAAACAGAAGTTTACATAAATTTGAACTGGGTTATACTTGTTCTGTTTTACTTAAAAATCTTCCTCCAGCTTTCCTGCATTGCAGGTCATCCATTAGATCTGAACTGGGTTTTCCTTAATTTCATTTCTTCTTTTCATCTCTAAATGCACTAACCTTAAATCTGTGAGAGTCATGCTGTCGGTATCATGACTTTCATGTAATTCATGTGCTTACTTTTGAATCTGAAGTAGATTTAGCTAACTCTCCACTTTTTGTTAAATATTTAACTCAAATTTCCTGAATCAGAAAGGTTTCAGTCAATTTGATCTGGATTTAGAATACCCATTTCATTTTACATCAAAGTCTAGTCCTGGAATCAGTTCACTCTGAAGTTGGTTTGATGATCTGAGTTACAGTCTTTGAATCCATTCAGCTTCCACCCTGGCAAACAATTCTAATCTTTTTTCTTGTTTAATATTACAATTTATCTGTATGACCTATAATTCTTGAGATGTAGTACTGATCTGCCTGTATAAATTTTTGCAGGAGGAACCCTGAGACTAGTGAGCGGACAGGTAATCCAAAAAGCGCATTACAGAATAATGTTATACACTACAGTCACAGTGAAGGGAAAACTTCATCTCATTGAACTGACTACTGTACAATTCTCATGGTATTGCAGAAAACTTGGTGTGTGGCCAAGCCTTCATCAGATGATGCAACTCTCTTAGCAAACATCAACTATGCCTGCTCTCAGGTGGACTGCCGCATTATCCAAAGGGGGTGCCCTTGCTTCTTCCCAGATAATCTGATTAACCATGCTTCTGTTGCTATGAACCTCTACTACCAGTCCAGGGGCAAGAACAGGTGGAACTGTGACTTCAAGAACTCAGCACTCATTGTTACTACTGATCCAAGTAAGCCCTCTTTTCCAATAGTTGAAGAAGAAAATTCAGAAGTAACAGAACTATCAAATTGGTAGTTCTCTGCAAACTGTGTAAGAAATCTGCTTGCTGTAAATGTTATATGTTGATAGTTGGTACTAAAGGATTTGGGTTTTGCATTTTGCAGGTTATGGTAACTGCATTTATAACTAGAAAGTATGAATGAGAATCCCTGCAGAGGATTATTGAGTCCAGTTGTTTAAGCTGCTGCTTGAATATAAATTTATGTAAATGTGATGAATGCGAGGGTCTTCTGTTTCAGGAACATTCATTCTTCCTATGAATTCAGTATTTTGCAGAGAAACGATCTAATTTTGCATCTATTTTCCTTTTTTGTTGTTTCACTCTGTTTTTACTCTTGCCTCTCGGGTTGTCTTATTTAACCCCATAGTTACAAGGATTAAGTGGCTGTCTGCATCCCTACAAGGTGACTTCTGTGGAGAATGTGGAATTGAACAGCACATTCATTGTATTTGAGATTCCATTACACTTTATGCACTGGAGATGCCTCCTAGTGGGACACATTCTATCAACTTTTTCACAATGAACAGAATGAAGCTGCTCATTTCCGCACAAAAGAAAATGAATTGAGATTTGCTGTAGGTTAGCCTTTTCTTGTCATTTTTGCCATATCAGAGAATCATTGCATTCTTGTTAGAAGAATGGTTGCTCCTAGTGTGTGTGTGTGTGGGACTCATGCACACATTTTGATGGTTAGGACAAGATGAATTTGAATTGAAAATGGATTTGGCCCAAAAGCTGCTTAGAGAGCTTTTGATTGATCTACTTACCTTTTGGAGTCTTGTTTTTAAAGATCAAGACCATTTGGTAAGTATCCTGGTCTATCATGGTCTACTAGTTTAATAAAAGAGTTTAGGTGTGGAAAGAGAGAAGCTTATTGATTTTCGACCATTTTGGGCTTTCACAAGCTTTCTAGGTTGCAGGTCTTTCCGACTTCCCCGTCTTTCATTGCCAAACATAAAAGACCACGAGTCAAGCTTGCAACAATTTTAAGGAAATCGAAAGTTCCCTCTCTTTGATGGAGAGAGCAGGCAATTGTTAGGTAACTACTGGTTTGCCTTTGCACATGTATGAAGGTTTCTTCAAATCAATTTACAGCATCACCACAAGATCGCTCAGGATGAAAACTTTCATCCTCCCAGCTACATGATGCAATTCCAACCATTTTTTTCTGACATTCTCCCCTATCTTTCTATCTCTTATTATCTACATGCATATGACAATGTTAATTATGTCATTTTGTATGGGGGTGTTTTTCACCTTAGATCGACATAGGTAAATGATACGAGTTTTTTTAATCAAAATACTGATGTCTTTGGTTGCATGTAAAATGAAGGAAAATGAAATATTTCTTTTCGAAAAATAGTATTTGATATTATGTAATTAATTTAAAAATTGAAAATAACATAAAACACACTTAGGATTAAAATTTGAAAATAACTCAAAGTTGGTTAATGTAAAATAGGTTGGTTCCTGCCTTGAAATTCATGTTTGCACTCTCATGGCCAAACAAGACACCATAAATTTATGACTGCTAAACTGAACTGGTTTGCATCCAAATATTTGAATAAATTTGTATTCACATCAGTGCATTCGTTTTTTGCACTCTTACCAAACATAAGCACAATTTTACTTTGGTGCATTTGTTTGGCTCAATTTGAGATGAATACAAATACAAATATATGTGATGCAGGTACAAGGTTTAGAAATACAATATTATATATACAAGGCTTTGCACTGTATATATTTGTATTTGTACTCTTCCCAAACAAAGCCAAATGAAGAATTGAGATCAGTTTTGGATTAGTATAGGACTACACAACAGGCCGATATCATGTATTTTCGACATCATAGTTTATTATTATTATTATCATTGGCTTCATGGGGCTACACAAGGGTAGTCCATCCCCCAAACCCATAACCCTCTGAAACCCTTGTGGAGGTAGGATTCAGTCCCGAGTAAGGGTGTTTGGTCTGGTCTAGTCTTAAAATGGTTTGTATTGGTTTTAGAATATCTCATACAGTAATGGTCTGTTTTCTAAATTTTAGAAACCAAACCAAATGAAACCGTAAACCATATTAAACTGAATTATTAAAAACATGTTTATTAATGTATATAATATATAATGTATATGTTTAAACATATGTATGTAAAGTATGTATGTGTATATTCATTTAACATTTCATACATGATTGTTTGTTTCAATTTTTAACTTGTAAGTTGATGTCCAAGGAGCTGTTTATATTTGAGAAGGTGCAAATATAATTCATATAATAGTACTAGGTGGCACTTATTAACATTTCAATTTGACATTTGAATTATATTAGTTATTTATGTAGATATACATGTTATTTGGGCTTTCTAATTGGGTTAAGCCCAACAGAATGGCCCAAACCATATTAGAAACCGGGCCAGATTGTAATAAAATGATTTGGTCTAATTTGATTCCTATACTAAAATGGTTCGGTTTGGTTTGAGAATTTTTCAAACCGTAATTTACTAATTTGGTTTGAGATCTTCTCCAAACAATGAACACCCTTAATCCCAAGTCTCTGCTACAACTATCAGAGACCTTACCAACTAGCTAGTTGGCACCTTGCCAGGCATCATAGCTTTTTCCTAAATAATAAAGTTGCAACTCAGGAGGGTTGGGCTAAGTTGAGAGCCAACCTAGGCCCAACTTTAAATGTAAAACTAGGGCTCTGGCCCCTAGACCAACCTAAATCAAAAACATTATCAGGCCAACCTTGGCGTAGCTAATTACTTGTGACACGAAAGATTGTTTGGATTTGATCAATGCAAATTGGCATACAATTTTTATTTTAGACTGTTTATAGTTGAAACAAACATAATTTAAAAATGTATCTCTGGGAGACAGTTTGTAAAAACACCAGTTTACCATCCAGGGGTGAAGTCATTGTAGCTAAAGTGACTCTCATACAAGGCAAGCAAGATTTATCCAGTCCCCCAATACCAGAAAAAAGATTGGTTTGATTGGTCTGGGCTCAGGTTCAACTCACCCAATTTGCAGCCCTAGCTAAGCCCCTAAGTACCAATTAAGTGCCACTACAAAGAGAAAGGATGCATGGGTTGTAATGGTTGTAAAGATATTTATATCTATTAATAACTGACATAAAAATTTGACTTGGGCGCAAAGTTTTAACTTGATTGGGTTTTGCAGTGCAATTTCATTTGCACTAGTGTAAAAGTTTGGGAGCACAATATCCATCAAAAAAAAGTTTGGGAGCATAAATGATTTTATTGAAAATTCGGATTTATTTTTGTTTTTATCTTTTGTCTTTTTGTTTGTTTGTTTGTTTGTTTGTTTGCTTTATTGTAGACTAAATATGATAAAAACTGAAGCGAAGTAAAATCCAGAACAAGCACCGTTCTCCTTTGCACTATCATACACTTTACTAGTGCAAATGAAATTACACTACAAAGATCAGATTAAATAGTCAAATAGACAAAACCCTTTTTAATTACCAAGTAAAATGGTGGTCAAATTTTACTAACCATTTCTGAGTTTCTATTTGTCTAATGTTGTGAAAATACCTATGGGGTGTGCTCTTACCAGAAATATTAGTGTCAAAATGTATATGTATCAGTTTCCAAAGAGAGGGAGGTGATACTTGTGTTGAATCCCATGTTCTCTTGTATCCAAAGAAAAAAAAAAAAAACCCAAGTTCTCATTAATGTAATGAGTATCAATTTGTATCGCAAGAAACCTATCAAAAAGTCCAAGAAATATCTAAGTCTTTGGTTTGATGGAACATAACAAAGAAACAGTAGGTTGAAGCCTTTAAAGGAAAGCACTCAAGGCTATGCTTGTTTGCATTGCAAATCTGAACTGGATACAAAATTTTCACTAGTTTAGTTTTGCATCTATTTATTTGTAGGTATGATTTCCTACTTGAAACAAAATCTATATATTTTTTTGTCTCATTTGCAATTTTTGGCAGTATATTTTTGGATGCAAAATTTGCACCACCTTCCTCTTACCTTAATTCTTTATCATATATCATATAAAGTAGGAATCATATCATCTTACTTCTTATCATACTCCCCAAAAAAAATAACTTCCTAACCTCCCATCTCCATTCCCTTCCTAACCTCCAAACAATGGTTAACTAATATGATCCGATCCAAGTAGATAATATATATATATATATATATATAAGAAAGCTATTAAAGATTTTAAAAATACTTCAAATTAAGCAAATGGTAAAAGGGCAAGCAAATTAATACCCAACCATGCAAATCAATGAGAAGAGGGATGTACAAAACAAGCGAAGCAATAACAAGCATGAATCGCGATGAATAAAATGTTACATTGTGGAGCACAATTATTTAATAAGCTCCATAAACATTGATAGGATTACTATGGAGCACAACTATTTACAAGGTTGTTAAGGGTTATGTTTTTTATTTTTCTTTCTTTATTTATTTTTTGTTAGTTTCTTCTCCTCCTCCGCACTATTACAACTTTCTTTTGGATTTTCAATATACTTCATTTTCAAGTTATTTGGCTCCTTTTAGTAATCTTGAAATGAGATGTATTGAACCATTAACTCTTTAGTTGAAACTCTAATATTTGTTTGAAATACTTTCCAAAAATATTAATTGGTTATCTGATTCAATTAAATAATTTAAATTAACTATGTTCACTAAATGAAATTAAGGTAATTAATAAATTTTAATTCTTAATTTATGAAGTTAAGTTCTTAGGTTATTAATAAATTTAAGTTACCTAATTTATATTAATTAAGTTAACTTTGTTAAGGTAATTAATTAACTAAATATTAAAAAAAATCAGCCCAACCCAAGAACCAGTTTCTCGGTATTTTGAAAAATGAATTTCCGAATTTATCTTCCACCAAACTTGGATTAGATTTGAAACCCGAATCTAAAATTGATAATATCTTATATAAAGTCCACAATTTGTAGCTCTCTAACCGATAGTTCACACCCAATATTAGACCTAAATCGGCTTTCAACTAAAGATGACACAACTATATGTGTGAAGCCAATTCAATGACACTATCTTTGCAAAACCGAGCTTCAACTTCCTTGGATTCGACGCAACTATGTGAGCCCGATGTTCTCTGGTATTTTTCTTCAAAAACATACCAAAGGACTAATGAGAATTTGCCCTCACTATGGCTGGTGCAAACTAGGGTTTTGGGGTGCAAAGGAGAAGAGAAAAGGAGCAAGGGAGAGTGGGGAGAAAACTTGGTTCGCCCCCTCTCTCTAATCCCTTTTATAGATCTCTTTCCTAACTGGATTAGGACTTAATCCAAATCAGATTTGGATTATGTCTTAATCCTCTTATAGAATGGGAGCTCTATACCCATATCCATACCAAATTCGACCCATGT